GAGTTCCTGGAAATTTGATAAACACACACACGCACAAACACACACACATGTATACACACACACACACATACAACACACACAACGCACACACACACACACACAACGCGCACATATGTACACACATACATACACAAAGCTAACACACACACACATACGTGCGCACACAAACATAATGAGCGGTTAATGGACAGAACAAAAAGATGTGTTAGACATCTAAGATCATATTGTTAGCACGCACACGATCAATCTGTGTGTATGTGATCGCACGAGCGATATATATATATATATATATATATATTATATATATATATATATATATATATATGTATATATATACATACATACATATATATATACATATGTATGTATATATGTATATATATATAATATATATATATATTATATATATATATATATATATATGTGTGTGTGTGTGTGTGTGTGTGTGTGTGTGTGTGTGTGTGTGTGTGTGTGTGTGTGTGCGTATGTGTGTGTGTGTATAAATGCATATATAGAGATATATAGATATATATTTATATATCCATATATATATATATATATATATATATATTCATATATATATATATATATATATATATATATATATATATATATATAGAGAGAGAGAGAGAGAGAGAGAGAGAGGAGAGGAGAGTGAGAGAGAGTGAGAGAGAGAGAGAGAGAGAGAGAGAGAGAGAGAGAGAGAGAGAGAGAGAGGAAGAGAGAGAGAGAGAGAGAGAGAGAGAGAGAGAGAGAGAGAGAGAGAGAGAGAGAGAGAGAGAGAGAGAGAGAGAGAGAGAGAGAGAGAGAGAGAGAGAGAAAATCGTCAGTTCTTGAGCTCATTTGAAACACAGAATATATTCATTCGACAGAAGAAAAAAATATTAGATTTGAACACAATCATCGAAATAATTCAAGGAATATAGTCTCTTTCTGCAAATGAGAAGGAGAATCGAAAACACGCCTTTGATTACAAAAAAAAGAAGGAAAAAAACGAAGACAAAAAAATGTCCGCCATCTTGCTTCGCTTTTAAGATTCACGATTTTCTTTAAGCTTTTATTAGAACAAACCGTTCAACATCACCAACGGATTTTAAGGTGAGAGAAAAAAGTCCACGGAGAAACACTGCCTGATTTTATGTTATCCAAGAAACAGATTTTCGTACATAATGAATGTATTTTACCGCCGTTTCCCGCCTCTCATATGCGGTGACGCCCTCTTGCGCGATGTAAACAAACCTATAATTATTTTTGCCCACGACCAAACATAAAGTCAGAAAGGTTTACCTAGAAGAAACAGAAAGAAAGAAAAACTAATGAATAAATAGATAAACAAGAACGAAAGAATTCTCTCATTTTCGCTTCTATTTCTTCGCCCGCTATGTGTTAGACGCTGATATTTCATTTTACTACCACACCTTAAAAGAATTCCCGGATGTATCAGTAGTCATGCAAAAGTATCCAATTTACGTAATGGTATCAGGAGGGAGGGAGGGAAGGAGAGAGAGGGGAGGGAGGAGGAGGGGAGGGAGACAGGAGGGTGCAAGGAAGGAAGAAAGGGGGGAGGCAGAGAAAGAGAGAAAGGGTGAAGGAAGGAAGGAAGGGACAGAGAGAGAGAGGGTGAAGACTTGGAGAAGGGTGAAGGGAGAATGGGATAGAGAGAGAAAAAGGAAAGAGAGAGAGAGAGAGAGAGAAGAGAGAGAGAGAGAGAGAGAAGAGAGAGAGAGAGAGAGAGAGAGAGAGAGAGAGAAGAGAGGAGAGAGAGAGAGAGAGAGAGAGAGAGAGAGAGAGAGAAAGAAAACAACAAAAAACAAACATAACCCATGGCCATAAGCATATACCTTTTATATTAATAGTTTTTTCTTCCTCTCACTCTCACTCGCTCGCTCTCTGCCTCTTTGTGCCTTTTTCCTTCTCTCGCTCTCTGTCCGTATTTCTATCCTCACCCCTCTCTATCTCTCTCTCTCCTTCTCCCTCTCTACCCTCCTCTCTCTCTTTCCCTCTTCTACCCCTCCCCCTTCTCTCTCTTCTACCCTCCTCTCTCTCCCTTACTCCCTCCATCTTCCCCCCCCCTCTCTCTCCGCTAGTTCTTTTCGTGGTGCGAGTGCAAGGAGGGGAGGGAGGGAGGGGCGGGGGAAGGAGAAGGGGGAAGGGAGAAGGGGGTTGTCCTAAAGGAACCTGAACAAATAGTAATGAAAATTCACTTAAACGAAAACATTTATTTTTTCTCCTTATTTCCTTATTATTTCGGTCGCTTTCGTCTGTATCTGATTCGTCCAGGTCGATGTTAGTGTTGGTATTATCAAAGTATATATTAATGGTATATATACTTAGGGTACTATTATCTCCACAAAGAAGGATAAGTTTTTGTAGCGTTGGTTAGTTAGTTCGTTCTTTGGCTGGCAGGATAACTCGAAAAGTTGTGAACAGATAACAGAGGTGTGTCTTAGCCCAAATTAGATGCCATTAATGTTTATTGGTGATCCGTATCTTGATCCGG